CTTCAAAACTTGTGGCCATGATCAAAAGATCAAGACTTAAAACAACAGGAAAACCCAAAAAAACAATGAAGGAAAATTCTCAATAAGAGAAATATAAATGCATGACTTTTTAAAAAAAAAATATTCTAATAAAAAGTTAAGGAAAAAAATTTGAGTCAACTAGGATTAACCCGCTAACCTCATCATCATAAAATCAGGATTAGGATAACCCAATTGTAAGAAAAGTGAAAAAAAAAAAAAGCATAAAAACCAACTCTAAAAAAATATTGGATGATGAAACTAATTTTTTATAAAGAAGAAAGGACATAAAATGACCAAAGTTAATTAATGTTAACCTTCAAAACTTGTGATTGTGTTCATAAGTTGGAGATGACCATGTAGAAGGCAAATTAAAAAAGAAAAGAAAAGAAAAATTCTTAATTAAAAATTATTGAGGCATGAAACTAAAAAAAAATAACAAAATAAAAAAAAAAAATTGAGTTAACCTATAAACCCTATGACCATAAGAATAAGATTTGAATAATCCTATAAAAAGTATAACAAAAACAAACAAACAGATAAATTCTAAAAAAATCAAATATTGAAGGATGAAATTAAATTTTAAAAAAAACCTAGAAAAGACCAAGGTCAAAAAACAAAGGGAAGAAATCTGGAGAAAGAAAAGAAATAAAAAAAATCCAAAAAAAATAAACAATAAAAAATAGGGACAAAATTCAACAAAAAAAATAAATCAAAAGCAAATAATGATAGATAAAATTAAAAAAACAAATTAATTGATGGAATGATTTAAAAATAATAAAAGCATGAGAACTAAATTTGATATGAAAATCAAATAAAACTGAATGATAAGGGATTAAATTAAAAAAAAATTAATTAAAAAAATTAAAATACAATAAATTATAATAAAAAGAGTAGAGACTAAATTGGATATAAAATGTAAATGGTAGGATACTCTCATATTCTGACCAACCACTTTCTCTTTTTATTAATATTTTATATTTGTAAAAGATCAAATTACCCTTAAATCAACTTAATTATAATAAAAAATAAAATAAAGTACCAAAAGAAAAGGGTAAAAAAACCACTTAGAAGGAAGCTTTATTTTTATCTCTTCCCTTGACAAATGAATAATTTAAATGTGCTTGGAAAATAAAATGTTAAAATGCCATTGGAAGTAAGATATTTTTTTTTTGTCTTATAAGGCTAATTAAATCATTTAACTATTCATAATGGAAGTCATGAGTCAGGTTTGTTTATAATCAATTTGTTGACTAATGTATCTTAATAAAAAACTAAATTACCCTTGGTATATGTTTTTTTAAGGGTCAAAGTGGGGAAATCATTGTTCATTGCTATAATGATTTCCCCACCAAGCTTAGTTTTTGTTAGCAAATCTATTGGTCCCTTCTCCATCGCGAGATGTATTAGTTTTTCCTAAAAGTAAAAAAACAAAAGTTAAGAGTGCGAATAATTATTTGAGAGTGATATTAAACCTGATCAAAATGGTCAATATTGAAACTTCTTAACCTAACTTTTTATTTAACATGAGTTTTGAATTAAACTGTGTGAAAGGTAGCTTAACTTAAATTGATCGATTTCATAGTTCTAAATGCAACCTTCAACCTTGGTGATCAAAAAAAATATGACTTAACTTAAAAAAAAAAAAATACAGATGACAACCTTTAAAAAAAAATATTAAAACAATAACATATTAGATCGATCTCGGTCCCTCCACGACCCACGTTATGGAATCTATTGGATTTAATAACTTTTTTAAAAAATATATTTACTTAATTATACGATAAAAATAGATGCTTACAAAATTAAGTATCAACCTAAAAATAAACACTTATTTGAGACAATTATCCCTATGAAAAGCAACAAAAAAAAAAAAAAATCAATCGTGCAGTTTATTTCCTAACCAATTCAATAGTAAAAGATGAAATAAAAAAATAAATTAAAAAAAGCATATTTTGTCGATGGGTTAACTCATCAAACTTGAGAAATTGGGTAACCTAAATTAGTACGTCAAACCTGTGAACTACGTTGTAGATTCCATTGAGAATATAATTATTTTTTTTCAAAACTATGTTTTATATAACTATATGATAACAAAAATAGACGATTGTGAAATCAAACACAACCCCATAATGTAATAACCTCATAAAAGGTGAAACAAGATCAATTATAAAATTAAATTTCCAATTAACTCAATATTTAAATATAAAACAAAAACAAAGTAATTAAAAAAGAAAAGTTAAACTTGTTAAACCCAAGAAACAGGTCAACCAGCTAAACATGTTAAACGGAGTCCTAGAACTTCATATAGAGTTAAAATTCTAAGAAGAGATTGAAATGCAATCTCTACAGATAGTAATGATTCTAGAGAGTAAAGGTTCAAAACAGTAACAGTTCAAAATTTAAACTATAACAGTCCAAATATAAAGAAAGAAATGATTGAAAGAAAGACTTATTGACTATTGATATAGTTATTATAAAATGTATTATTGAGTGAAGAAAATTTATGAGATAAACATGTGATTACTGGAGGGACCACCAGAATGGTGCTGCAGTAGCAGCAGTAGCAAGGGAGCACTAATAGAGCTTTTATTGCAGGTAAGTAATCCACACTTATACTTTTTAATTAAATCCCTTGATTTAATATGTTATTGATGTATAAGTAATCCACACTTATACTTTTTAATTAAATCCCTTGTAAAATGTGAATTACTGAATGTTGGATATAATGTGAAAGAAGGAAAATTTACATAATGATGTTAATATTTTAAAAAGTATTCTAAATATATGAGTATTCGAGGTGAAAGGTTATTGTGTGAACTGTCAAGTGATTAAATTATCGTTGACAATGAAAATATGAGAAGTGTGATATGGAACAATGACTAACATACATTTAGTGTATGTTAGGATCTCGGGTAAGGGAATCTCTATGTTTGGACTAGCATACATTTAATATATGGTAGGATCCCAGGTAAAGAGATCATCATGTTTTGACTAGCATACATTGAATGTATGTTAGGATCTAGGGTAAGATGATCAACATATATTGGCTAGCATCTATTTAATGCATGTTAAGATCCCAGAGAAGGGAATCACCTTGCATCAACTCTTACAAGGTGATGATGATATAAGTGAAATTGGTATCAGTAATGTGTTAAGCGAAAATAATCATGATTGATCTTATAAAATCTTGAATAGAGGTTGATAATAAAAGAGGAAATAGTTTTTAGTAGTTGAATGAGAAAGAGTTTTCATAGAAAACTAGATGGGAGAAGTGAATAAAATATAAATACATGTTTGCCTTTTTAAATTGTTGGATATTTTTCTTGTTATATTTATTGTGATATTTATGTTTCAATAATATATATTTTATTTCAGGACCATCGCATGCACAATAAAGAGTATACCCATGTATTTTCTAATATTACAACTTTTATATAACTTAATTTGTATAATCAATGTTTAAATTTGAATAGATAATCTTAGCTTTGAGTTTCATACGATTGTGTCCATGCATACATGTTTATTTTATTTATTCCTCTATAATGATATTTGTTGTTCAATTTAAATTATCAATATTATGGTTGTGATGATGATAATGTTTGTGGGATTAAGACTCAGGACAATTGGGTTGTGATTAAGTTATGAAATATGAAATATAGAAGTGTAAACATGTTAAATGTCGATAACTTGGGACCTCCTGATATAGGGGAGACTCTATCAAAATTTTAGTAAAAACTTCAATAAAATTTAATATGAACTCCTTGTGCGCACGCACACACATATATATAATTTAATTACTCTTGCTTAATCCTAGATATGGGGATGATAAACATAAACTAGTACAACCTATGTTATCCTAACAAACCTGCAAACCACGTTAACCTTATTAAAAGGAAAAATAAAAATAAAAAACAAATTATGAAGCAAATTTTCAATAATTTGAATATTAAAAGATGAAATCGACAAAATTAAATTAGAAAAAAATCATAAAAAAATCAAAAAGAAAAGGAAAAAAATAGCAAAACATTATGGATTACTATTAGAAGACTTGTTTATAGGTGAACAGTGATTTTCTCACGCTTTTTAATTTTTTTTATTTTATAATATTTAATAACACGGTTTTTCTCTCAAATTATTATTTTTTAACTATAAGTAAAAAAAATAAACTATAAAAAAATCATGTTAAATTAAAACAAGAAAATAAAAAGATACCCCACAAAACCTATAAACTAGAGCAACTTGAGTCTTTTTAACAAACATGCAAATCATATCAACCCCATCAAAAATAAAATAAAAATAAATAAATTACAAAGCTAAACTCTTAACTATTTTAATATTAAAAAGTAAAATTGATAAAAATAATTTTAAAAAGAAAATAAAAAGAAAAAAAGAATTATATACTTAAGCAACATAAAAAAAATCAAAGTAGAAAAACACTATATAAATCCATAATATTTTAATGCTTTTCCCATGTAATACCATTTTGATTTTATTTTATCTTTTTCATTTATACCATTACAATTTTTCATGCAGAATTATATATTTGTTTGGCAAATATGGTATTCTTTATTTTTGTTATGATCACATGTTTGTACACCTCATGATGAAAGATGATTCAATTGAAGCATCCATATGTACTGCCACTTGTGAAGGCATCTCCGGTGAAAATTTCCGACGTTATTCTTCGTCTACTCTTAAAAAATCTTATTCATGCCCCATCAACCAATGGTAATGACCTTTTCAATTTATATAATATCCATAGCAACTTTTAAGAAAACTTGTAGCCTAGGAACAAGGAAATAGGTTGCTGGAGGAAGACCACCAATGCTTGATAAAAATGAAATCATTGAAGAAAATGATTATCTTATTCAAATTAAAAAAAAAAAAAAAACTAGTAAAAAATGTTGTCTGATATTTGAACAGTAGCAAAGGCAGGAAAAGAAAACGGGGCGAAGAGAATAAAAATGGGACACAGAATATATACGAAGAAGCATCAAATGAGTACTCTCAAGAAAATTTGTTGCTGACAAGCCAGTTAATCAATTTTCATGGGGAAATGAGCTCGAGTTTCCCCGTCCTAGTCTAAAGTTCCCTAAACCAAGCAAACCTTAATCAATTTTCATGGGGAATGAAGCTCGAGTTTCCCCGTCCTAGTCTAAAGTTCCCTAAACCAAGCAAACCTTAATCAATTTTCATGGGGAATGAGCTCGAGTTTCCCCTTCCTAATCTAAAGTTCCCTAAGCCAAGCAAACCAGCTCGAGTTTCCCCTTCCTAGTCTAACTTTCCCTAAGCCAAGCAAACCACCTAGTCGGAGTCCGAATCTTCGCTAGCCTGTTCAAAATCAGAATCTTCACTCTCAGAGTCACTCAACACATACCTAGTCTGCTTCCGGTTTGCCCTCTGCGGTCTTGCTTTTGCTGGCACGTCGATGACATCGGCGTTTTCAGATGTAGAAGAAGCTGGCATTGTTTCAATTCCGCCCAATAAAGAACCACTCTTCTTGTTGAATGGAGATGCCCTCATTTTCCTCACTTTCTTTTCTGGAGATATTCCTGATTCTTCAGCAGGCTTCAACATTTCAGTTAGAAGCTGCTGGCCCAATCCCTGGGACTGCTTGCTGACTGGCCCTCTCCTCTTCGTCGCTGCAGGTGGTTTGGCCGCCTTATCATTTGCAGCAGCAGCTTTTCTCCCCCCCTTCTTTTTTGTTTCTGGGACAGCTTTCACTTGTACATCGAAGTCATCGTCAAGATCTGGTTCGTCCTCACTATCAGAAATGACTGAGACAGCTGCTAGAGGCTTCTTCCTAGCAGCGTTTCTCCCAGCTGGTACTCGAAGCACATCAGTCTCCATGTCTGTGACAGTAAAATAAACCAATAACCATTAAGGTCACAAGTAAAGATGTCCAATCTATGGCCAAACACAAGTGTCTCCGCATCGAAGCGTCCTTTGAAATTAACAGAGAAAAACTGGAATTCTCCAGGTTCAACAATTTCTTACAATGGGAAATAAATTGGATAGAAAAACTCACCAGCTGATTGCTCAGGCGAAGAATCAAGTCTATATGCCTTAAGTCGGTCCTTCAGCGATTCTATTTCATCATCCTCATCCGAACTTGGAGAGGGTTTTTCCTGCTGGTGAACAGAAACAGGAGGTGATAAGTTTCAAAAAGCTCAATTCTGTTTGCTGTTTGTGGGGAGGTGTGGCGGGGGTGTTTAAGGGAGTACCTTTTTAGCAGGAGCCTTCCTTGATCCTGCCCTTCCTTTGGGTTTCACTACCTCAGCAGCATTCTCTGACAGATATAGAGTAAACATTAACAAAGCTCAGGGAAACTTGTAAAACATGCCAAGAATAGATAATTTGTTAGTAGAAGCATCTCTACCTGCCTGCTGACCTGTTTCCATTGCAGAACTGGATGGTTTTCCCATGGTCTCAACAGATACTTCTTCATTTATGGCTTTCTTAGTGTACTTCCTTGGATTTTTAGGTGCTTGTTTAGAAACCTTAAAACCAGCTTCGCCATTTGCATCACCTTTTAATTTCTTTCTTGCCTCCTCTGCTTCAGCATCATATTTATCCAGCACCTAAATGCATGTATTGCATAAAAATCAAAGATGTCACATCAAAGAAAAAGTTACGAAGGCAAAGAAAATGAAATAGCCAAGTGGAAAAAAAGTAAATGAAAACAAGTAAATATCAAGTGTTGACTATGCACATACATCAAGTTGCATCTCAAGAGCCTCAAGATCTTTCACCCACAAAACTATTGGAGTTGTCTTTCTTAAATTGTCAACCTCTCCATTGAGTTTGTCATGGTCAGCACATAGCTGCTGAAC